TATAAAATATATGTAATAAAGAGAAATGTTTACATATCTAATAACGAAATAAATATAAATTTTTAATTCCCTAAAGTCGTAAACGTATTTAAAAAAAAAACTTAATTCATTTTCCTCTTCCATATCCAATCTACACTTTTTGGGTTTTTATTTGAGACACACTTTAATGATAACTTCTGTGTCAGTGGTTGTGGCTAAAGCTGATGCAGATTTGTTTCAATCTGTTAAAAAATTAATAACCTTTATAGTCTATTTAAAAACCAGGAGGAGTAATTCGAAAAGCCTTACTCACACCACTAAAAGTAACTAAATTAGTTACTAAAGAGCGTGTTCCGAAATAGTCGCGTTCAAAATCTCTAAAATAGTTGTCATTATCGGTCCGACTGGTCCTAATCAGCGAACGGCCAATGAGAGGTCAAGACACGAATAAATATATGTCTAGGAGTCAACTTTTTATTGGTCCCAGACAGTGAATTTTGAATATTTAAAATATAATTATGCTGTCTTGGGTTGTGTCTAGAAATACTATACTGTGATGAGGTTTCATAAAATTGAATAACTCATTTAAGTATATGATAAAAGTAACGGCCCCAGGATTGATCCTTGCAGACCTTATGTAGTTATAAGAGGCCATTAATAGAATATTTATATTCAGTAAACATTATTTTTACATTAGTGGTAGGATACGTCAAAGATCCGCTTGTGTCACTTTTACGTTTTCTCAGCAACTTACTTTTTAATGATACTTTAGTCCCAATTATTGCACAAATAGTACAACACGAAACATATAAGGAACGTTCTGTTTCAACCATAACGTGTGAAATCGACTAAATAATATAAAAATCTCGGTCACTGGTTATTCACTTATTGAAATGGATATCGTGTTGGGTACTTTTAATTATGGCGGATGTCCCTAAACTGTACGCCAGTGTAAGATAATAGAAATATACTCGTATTTTGTTTCAAATAATTTCCTCTCCATTTTGTATAGATTCATATTTCTTTAATGATATATAGCCATTTACAGACAGAAATAATACAGTTAGATGGAAACAAAAAAAGAAAAATGATGATCAGTTGTGATATTTGCTTTTAATCCTAAGCGGAAATAATAAAAAATAAACCCAATAATTCTAATTATTATTACAGTAAGACATATTTTTTTGCACTATCAAAGAACAATATCAAAATACATTATCAAAGAATATTATTAACGAACATTATTAATGGACATTATCCAAGATCATTGTAAAAGATTATAATCAATGATATCAAATAACATCAAAAAAAATTATCAGAGAACGTTATCAAAAAACATCTAATAACATTATCAAGAAACAATATCAATGTACTTTATCAAATAACATCAATGATAAAATTTTAAAATGATGTAAAATAGGATGATTCCCGAGGTTAGCTGTTTTTGATGTTTATTTGAACTTACAAAAACTTATCTACCTACACATCTGGTTTTTATATAAAGGTATCCAAGAAACAGTAGGCACCTATAATCCTACGTCTGACTGAAAAACGTGGCATGTCGGCTTTTTTGCTTACTAGTTGTAATTAGAGGGGAGGGTAAAGGTGAACAACATGTACGATGTCCCGGTTATGGGAGCGGTCGTGGAACTTGCCAAATTCAAAGTACATTTTTTTTCTTGTGGCCAATAATAATAAAAAAATCCCTTTACGAGAACTTAACGAAATTAGAGATATCCTTAAACGCGTTTTTTCTTAATCTAAGCATTTTTATGTGTGTCGGTAAAGGGTTGATATATTCCCATAACAATCAAATTTTGACATTTTTTTCTTGAAAACCCTGGATGAATAAAAGTCTGAATGCAGTAGAACTAGTGTTGCCAATTCTGGGAATCAGAAATCCGAGAGAAAAGAAAAACAAAAAATAGTAAAGTGTAACAAATAATTACAACAACTAACTTATTCTTAAGTATGCAATTTTACAATATTTTTGACCCGATATTTTTTTTGTAACGTTGTTTTTTACACCGCAAGCAGCTGGAAATACTTCGGCATAGGTAGACCGAATTAAATAATTTTTACTTTCCTATCTGAATACAGATAAGGAAAGTATAGGAATCATGATTTTTTCGACCTCCAGTTTTCGACGGATTTTTACGTTTTGCGGTCCCCTGAATCCATTTTGACTATTTTCAGGATGATGTATGTGTGTGTGTGTGTGTGTGTGTGTGTGTGTGTGTATCCACCATAACTCCTGAACCGATAAAAAGAAAAACACCAAATTTTAAACTTAAGCTTTATTCCGGCGTCCAATGAACTGATTAGATTTTGGGCAGAGTCGTAACATCTGAGGGGGGGGGGGTACTTTATTGGTGGTCATTTTTATATTTTATGGAATATATCTGTTATTTACGTTTGGAAAAGTTACTTAAAATATTATCAATATTTTTTGTTCTTTACAAAATTTTCCTAAGATGGTCCGTATTCGAGAAATTTGACAAAATGTCAAAAAATAATTTTTTATAAAAATTGTTAAAATAAAAGTTATTTGTGATATAATTCTCTATAATTTTTATCCTATACATTTCATACATTCTAAAATGGACCGTATTCGAGATATTTGAGAAAATGTGTAAATTTCCAATTTTGAAGAAAACTCAAAACGGATAAAGGAAAAAACATTAAATTTTAAACTTTAGTTTTATTTCGGCCTGACTGAACTGATTAGATTTTGGACAAAGTCGGAACATCTGGGAGGTACTTATGGGAGGCCGTTTTTATATTTTATGGAATATTTCAGTTATTTATGTTTGGAGAAGAAAATTGTTTAAATAAAAGTTACTTCTCGTATTATTATCTATAATTTTTGCCTTATGTCAAATTTTCCTGAAATGGTCCGTATTCGAGAAATTTGACAAAATGTGCAAAATTCTGATTTTTAAGAAAATTGTTAAACTTAAAGTTGTTTGCGATATTGATTTCTATAATTTTTGTTTTTACATGATTTTTCTAAAATGGACCGTAATGGAAAAATTGGAGGAAAAGTGCTAAATTTAAATTATTCAGTATTTTCGTTTTCATAATGGGTCCTATGATTGAACGTTTACGTTACCCGTGACGTACATGTTAAACCGACTTTTAAAAGTAACGAGACAAGTTCGTATGATGCAAACCTGTTAAATTAGAACATAACAGGTGGAAAATAACAGTAATGTGTTGGAAAAAGTTTTTCATCGTACGAACTTGCCTTGTTACTGTTAAAACTCGGCCTAACATGTACGTTACGGATAACGTAAACGTTTAATCATACGACCCAATATCTATACAAAAATGTTTCGGATTATGTGGAAAATGTATATATTTAGTTTATCCTCTAAACATTTATAGAGGTGCTACAATAGGTTGTACAAAATAACCGGAAAAAGCCTATAATAACTAGATAGGAAAGTCATGTGTTGGACACATCAGATTTTTTTATTTCTTTGCCTGATTCATCCTAACATTTTTCAAAAAAATTAACCCAAACGCGCCTACTTAGATCATTTATATGCTCGCAATAACTTCACGTACTTCTACTTTAATTATTATCATACAGTTTATTCTCATGCATTTAAAGGCATGTTGAGAGAAGAACTCTTTTAATTCAACCCACTCAATTTCATTATTCATAGTTTAAAGATTCGGGAGATTTTAGATACATTCCTGGAGCCTGGAGATTTTGAAAATGAAATGCATTTTTCCGGGAGAATCCAGGAATTCCGGGAGAGTTGGCAACCCTAGATAGAACCCCTAAATAGAAAAACCTTGCAGGGGACTACTCTTATTTGATAGTCATACAAACATTTTGAGAGTAATTAAACCACTTTTCGAGTATTGGTTCCGATTTTACATCTATTTAAAACAAAAACAGGTCGCTTTTTTTACCAGATTTCAAATTTGCATATCAACCCTTTTGGCGATACAAAAAAAATGCTTATAATATTACCTCAGATTCAGAAAAAACGCGTTTCAAATTAATTTTAGCGCGCCTGTCATTTGTCACCTAGAAGTAGGATATTTGTTTATTTACACTTTGTAAATTTTTGGCGGGCTTCTGTGTTTGTGATTTTTTAACTGTTTTTAGTTGTAATATATCATTATAATGAATTCAACAAAATTAAAACACTTCTTATAAATAACTGAAAAATATTTATTTTTAAATTTCAAAGTGTATGGAAGCGGTGCTTTCCCCGCTTCCATGGACCGCACGCCCCTAGATAATTACCTTTACTTTGAACTTAACAGGTCACACGTCAGCTCTCACCACCAGGACAGAATAGATATTGATTACCTGAACCTCCCCCCTTGTATCCAACTACAAATAGCAAGCAAAAAAGACGACGTACCTTTATGAATGTAAATCAGTGTTGCCATTCTAGTACAATTGTACCAGGTAGATCTAGTACATTCTCTGAGAATCTAGTCCTCTAGTACATTTGAAGGAAAATCTAGTACTTTTATTTTTTCAGCGTATGTTTTCATTTGACGTGTGAAATATATTGTTGGGGTCTTTCTTGTTTGTTGTGTTCGTTTTCTTTATAAACCTTTTTTTGCTCTTCAATGATCACACTTCACAATTAGATATATCTGGTACATTTTATAGAATCTGGTACATTTTTATGTAATCTGGTACATTTTTTAGATAAATCTGGTACATTACAAAAATATATTCTGGCATCACTGATGTCAATCCACACAAAAATAGATCTCGTCTTTTTTTATAACTTCCTTGATACGTTTTTTATATTTAATTTTTGCTGACAAAATTTTGATTAACTAACTTTCACTTATCGAACTTGCATTCTATTAAATAAATGTTAATAAATAAATAAATAAATAATAATTTTTAAATAACATTATTAGCTATTTAAATCGAAACTGAATAATTTTTTTGTCATTGTAGATAGAATCTAATCCGGCACATGTATTATGAGAAAAAAAGTAAGAAAATAGGTTAATTTTCAGGGAGAGAAAAGTTACAGCGTGCTATCATGAAAACTAAAAGATCTGCTTGGTTAAGTCACACACGCAATTTGCTATATGAGCCTATAAATTCATCGCAATTATCAGAAATTGCCCATTAGAGTATCTCGTATCTCCATAGATTGTGATAGTTTTAACATAATGCGGCTTGATAGGTTATTAGTTTTAGTGATAGTGTGTAGTGTTAACGCAAAAAATCAGACAGATGAAGTGATTAGTACGAAGGAAACGTTTAATAAATTGGAGCTACAGGATTGCGTGAATTCGGATTCAATGTAAGTTTACGATATTAATTATTTAAAGTTGTCTTACGATTTTTTAACAAACATTAAGTTTTACTTTTTGGATTGTTTTGGAAGAAAAATAAACTCAGGAAAAATATACAATATAACAAATTCAGTAAAAATTATAATAATTTTGGATTACTTAAGAATACTAAAATGAGTGTTATCAGTAATTTCTAGTTTTAAAATTATTTCTTCCTTTTGGAAACATTTATGGGAATCGCATCATCATCGTCGTCAGGATTTTATTTATTTATTTATTTCAAAAATACATTACAGAAAATAAATTACAATACCAAATAATGTAAAAAGGTAAAATTGTATAAAAACACTCATAAACTAGACATAAAATATTTCTCTAAAAACACAAGTAATAGTACAATAAATAAATATGTTAGATACTACCGAACTTAAGTGTTCTTTTTAGAGTAAGAACGTTTATATTAAAAATGTCACAATCGGAAAATAATTTATTATAATTTTGGCAAAGTCGATCAATAAAAGCGTTCTGTCCATAGTTGGTACGATGTCTTCTGACTTGAAACAGGGAGGTGTGTCGTATTCGCCTGGTAGGCACCAGAAAGTTGATTTTCTTTAACAAGGAATGGCAACACATCGTGCCATTCAACAGCTTAAAAAGGGATAGAAGAAGAGATTGTTTCCTTCTATCTTCTAGGTTGTGTAGACCGCAAAGAATTATTCTCGTTTCATATAGCCTAAGATTCGAAGTAAGGTCGACCTTCACCCATCTGTTTACTGGAAGAAAGTTTGTTTTTATGAAATAAAATATATTTATAAATATACCGCAAATGGGTTGCCTAAGAAAATACGGTCCAGACTATTTATTTTCCTAAAGTAAAAAAAAAAACGACACCTTGTAAAGTATTCCCCAGATGCTTCTACTATGCCCAAACTTTAATCAGTTCACCGCAGGATGGATTAAAGCTTAAGTTTAAAATTTGGTGTTTTTCTCTTCATCCGCTTCTGAGTAGTCTTCAAAATTCGAAATTTGCACTTTTTCTCAAATATCTCAAATTACGTCCATTTTAGGGAAATCATGTATAGGAACAAAATAATAGAGAATGACATCATAAGCAACTTTTATCATGATTCCCATACTTTCCTTATCTGTACACAGAAAGGAAAGTAAAAAATGGCCGTGACCGTATTTTCTTAGGCAACCCATTTGCGGTATATTTATAAATATATTTTATTTAATAAAAACAAACTTTCATCCGGTAAACAGATGGGTGAAGGTCGACCTTACTTACGGATCCTGGACTAAAAGCAGATATCTTGATATGGAAACCGAAATAGTAGATATTTGGCGAACTTGCGCTGTACCCTTTCTATCCTATTTATGTGACACGTGTAATTGGGTAGCCAGATTACAGAACAGTATTCTAAAATGCTTCTGACTAAATAGTTGAATAGTTATGTAATAGCCTTGGTGTCATTTATGTGATGTGAACACATACTTTGATTCAAAGTATGTGCATGTGAGTGACGTTTAATAAAAACCAAGCATTCTAAAAGCTTTGCACACAATGTAGGTCTTTCCTTTGCATCGAAAGTGTAGCACTGAGCTACACCACTTCTGCAAATATCGTTCCATCCATACTATTTGTATAAATGGAACGATATTTTCAGAAGTGGTGTAGTTCAGTGCTACATTTTTTATGCAAAGGAAAATACCTAATAGAGTCGGATATTCAGGTTAAAGGATAGACTTGTATCAAAGATGATGCCGAGATCGTTTACCGAAGAAGAATTTTTTAATATTGACCTTGTAAGAGTTCGGAGTAGAGTTGGGAGATCTTATGAAGTGGATTGTAGCACATTTATTAACATTTAGGGACAAATGGTTTAGTTTGCACCACTTAGTGAAGCGATCGAGATCCGCTTGTAAGGCAAAGTGATTACTAGTCTTTGTGCTAAAAAACTTAAGGTCGTCTGCAAATAAGAGGCAGTCACTGTTTTGAAAACAATCTGTTGCGTCGTTCAGAAACAATAAAAATAAGACAGGGCCAATATGAGATCCTTGTGGAACACCTGATGTCGCTGAAACTTTATTAGAGACCGAGTTTTGCACAGTAACACGCTGAGAACGATGACTTAGGCAAGAGTTGAACCAATTAGGGTAATTACCCGAAATACCAATGTCTGCTAATTTTTTAAGAAGCAGTTCATGGCAAACACTGTCAAAAGCTTTAGACAAGTCTGTATAGATAGCGTCAACCTGATGACCAGCTTCGAGAGATAGGAGAATACTTATTCTTGATACACGCCAAGATTTGTTGCAGTTGAGCGTTCTTGATAGACATGTTGGCATGGAGAAATGTTATTTTTATATGTGGCAAATACCTCGTCAGTCAGGATGAATTCGAATAATTTAGGTATCGTAGATGTTATACAAATGCCTCGATAATTTTTTATGTCAGTTTTGTCTCCCTTCTTGTAAATTGGCACCAAGTTAGAGAATTTGCAAACAGTAGGCAATGTTCCACTATCGAACGATTTTTGTCGCAGCGGCCCTTTAATACGGATGGTGGTATTCCGTCAGGATCTGCATTTTTTGGTGCATCTAGACGTTTAATTTTACTGTAAGTGTATAGAATCGATGAAAATGGCACTGATGGAACTGAAGCAAAATCGGTATTGTCTTTATCTAATTAACACGTTAAGCGCCACTAATATTTGTTAGAATTACACTGCGGTTAGCAGTGACTGACTGTTTACATTTAGTAGTCAAGTTCTTCTGACAGTACATGTACTTTGCTATTTACATTTGACCACTGTGGTCTGTACGGAAGTATTCCATTTCTCAAACATACAACTTTGAGTAACATCGCTAAAATACAGGTTTTTTTTATGTTTTATTGAGTTTTATTTAAGAAAACTTCAGAAAACATAATTAAATGAAAATATCTAAAAATGATGATATTCTTACCAAAATAAAACATTTTTAGTACTGTAAAGATCATAAGTAAATCAAAATAAGTAGCAAAAATGTTTTAGTGTTTGTGACTTGCTGTAAATCCTTCTAGACATTAATGTGGTGGATTTTCATAGTCAACATAATATGTAAAGCCGTTAAGATATTGGCGTGTTCTTTCTGTATCTGTAACGTGGGTGGGTTACCCCCACGGCACTTAGGCCTCATGAGGTCCATTGTGCATCCTCCTGAGATGATAGGCACCTCCTAGCTCGTAGTTGATAACGTCGCCAAGAGGTGCTTCTCTTATATCGGTAGGTGTTATCCGATACTCGCCGAACACAAATCTATTAAACGAGAGCGTCGAGCAATCATAAAGGATATGATCGATGGTCTCATCTTCTTGTTCGCACCCTCTGCAAAGTGCGGATTCTGGCAGCCCCATGATATGGAGATGCTTCCGTACTTGGCAATGACCAGTCAGAATGCCTGTGACTAGTCAGGATAACTTAAGAGCTCCCTGGCAACTCTGCTGTTTTTTGTTTTATCCCATCTTTCCTTGAATTTCACAAGGACATGTTTTTTGATTAGGTTTGTCACTACCAATTTTGTCAGGCCAATAGAAGGGCCAGGTCCAACAAGTATTTGGTTGGCTGCTTGCTTGGCTAGTAAATCAGCAAGACGGTTACCTTTCGATGAAACGTGACCTTTGATCCATCTTAAGGTGACCACATTGTTGATGAATACTTCGGCCAAAGCTTCGTGACATTCTAGTACTAACCCTGAGTAAATTCGTGGTCTGTTCAGGGTGAGTAGTGCTTGTTTGCTATCTGTATAGATGAACATGTTCCTTCCAGTGCTCGTGACCTTTATTATGACTTCCAATACATTTTCCACCAGGCCACGGCGGTCTTTGGTACCCGCTTCAATTTTTGTATTTTTTTTAAAAACTGATAATTTTTCGTTCAGGGGTAATTTTCTCAGATACAGGGGTGTTAAATAATTTTTAAAAGATTAACTTTTTGAAATAGCATATTAGGCGTGGCGCTTGACGTATTAATAATTAAATATAAATTATAATGAAAGTGATCCACAGAAAATGATGATTCTAAAGTATGCCTTGAAAAAATTTACGCATGTCGAAGCGGACATTTTTTTAAAGTGTCTGTTGGAATTTAATTCAAAGTCGTTCGTAGTTATCACGGTATTGGTCTACTTTAGAAACGCAAGAAATAAAGAAAGTTAGGTAATTAAAAAGTTCAAATACGAGGACTGGCATTAGTCGAAAAGTGCTGACATTTTAAACATCACTTTCCCGAATAGGTATATTGATCGAAATGGACCAGTTGCATCGCCACCAAAGCAAAATGTGTTTTTGGTTTTTTTTTTAATTTTGTAAATTTTTAAACCTTTAAATTTTAAAATTATGGTACTTTTTAATTTTTTTTAATCACCCTATGCAATGCCGTTATGCAACAAAACGAAAATGCGTGACTGTCCGTTTGCAGTGAAATGCCCTATATATCTAATGATTAATAATTATTTAAAAACAACATAATAATTTGTTTACACAAAAAGTTAAGTTTAAATGAAAACCGCTCATTACTCCTAAAACAGAATATATAAAAATTCAATAAATAAAAAAAAATAATCATAAATTCGGAAAAACAAGGATTAAGTGAAATAGTAGTTTGTGGAATAAGAGGGATATGATGAAAATTTACAAATAAAAAAAAAATATTTTAGGTTATTAAGACGAAAATAACTAATTTTAAAAAAAATTCATGAATTTTAGTAATTTGTAAAATAAAATAAACATGAAAAAAAGATATATTTTAATTAGTTCCAGCCCAGATTCGAACCCGGGCTTTTCGCGGGAAAGGCAGAGGCTCTGCCTTCATCTTCAACGTCACTTTTAGCATTTAGGTTCCAATATTCGTAATTAAATAATTTTCATACAGAAAACTCAATTTTGACGTCTATAGAAACGTCAAAACGCATCTTTTCTTGGCTAGTCTGGCAAAATAACTAGAAATGGCTAGCCAGTAAAATAATCGCATTAATTTTCCGCCATAAGGTGCACCACTTAATTTTGACTCTTTCACAATTTATTATTAAATTATTTTTGTTGCATTGTTCATAAATAATAGAAACTTCCTTATTCTGCTACAGGTTATGTGTTTACTGATATTTATCTATGATTGATGTAGAGTAGACAAGTTGTAGTCATTTTTTCAAAATAAATTATAAAGGTAAGTCACATGCTGTAATACACATTACACATACATGTTGTGTGTGTTGCCGTCAAGTAGTTATATATCTGGGGTGGGATTTCGTTTCACGATTCGATTCGAATTTGATATCAAACTCCATATAAAAGCAATTCCGTATAATGAGTAGTCGATTCGATATAAAATCGTTAAAGTTGGATTGACATTAGGTATGAGGTCGAATAATAAGCCTGTGGTTTAAAATTTTAGGGCAGAAAGGAATCTAGTTTCCAGTGCATACTTATGACTCTGGCAATGCCTTTTCTGGATAACCTATCGTGCCATAGAGGTCTTTTATATTCTTAGAATATCAATAGAACAATTATTTATTATACAAAACGATACAACATAAATATAAACAATGCTATGTTCTCTATATTCAGCTGAAAAAGTTCTCCACGACGATTTTTAGGAAGTTCAAAAGGATCGCTTCTTTTTTGTAGCTCATCCTTTCTTTAGCCTAATAATAATACATAACATTTTTATAATTTAACCCAAGATTTTCGAAGTCAACACAGATAGAGACTATAGAATCGCTTTTCATAATTCGATCAAATTATGAATTGGATCGAGATAGAGTTACTCGACACAGAACGAAATCCCACCCCTGTGTCATTTTCTAAAACATTTGTCATTTTTGTGGTTGGTACCAATGCGGACTTGCTTATTTAAATTCAAATTTCTTTTAAAGAAATAATAATCATTTTACTTTAGTGTAAGATAAAGTTTTCTGTTGGTTCAGGATAAAAAACAGTATGTAAACCACGACAGTAAAGTGGTTTTACAGGCCTCGCAAAGTGTCCAGGCTCGGCTTCGCCTGTCCATATCTTTACTCGGCCTGGATAACAGTCACTTTACTGCCTAGGTATACAATATACTATTTTTTAAATGTGGACTAAATTAAAATAAAAATTCTATTATTTATCGATTCTACATTATTTTGACAGAATTGTCACTTATTTAAAATTTTAAAAATAATAGTAATATTATTTCATATTTTGCTAAATTTGAATACCATACTGTAAAATTACTAATTAATTTCAGAGTCTCCTGTCTCGCTTCGAAAGCCGCTTCAGAGATAGAACATTCGATGAACAAAAACATTCCCCTTTTTGGAGACGTCAAATTGTTGAGAAATAATGAAAAAATTTTCTCGAGAAGAGGCAGAGCCCTAGATGGTGTTGACAGATTTTTCAGAGCTGTGTCAGACTTTATAGATACTCACACCTTTTCTATAGATCTGACGAATTCAAGTGCTAGGGCTCTGGATGAAGATGAAGATGATGATAAAGAACTACCAAAAAGAGGAGGAGGGGGAGGAGGAGGTGGTGGTGGCTTTGGAGGTGGTGGCTATGGAGGAGGCGGTGGAGGAGGCGGAGGCATGTTTAATATGAAAGGAATGCAGAAGGAAAAAAGGTAAATTTTAAATATCAAAATAACAATTCACTTTTGGCACCAAAACCTTGTGGTATACCTGACGTTTGATGGAAGATGTGAAATTTGTGTCCCAACATTTGAACATATTGAGTTCTTTCAGAGAGGTAAGAATAAAAGAGAGCAACTAGAGAATCGCTCAGCCCAAGGGAATTAAGCTTATTTAATAGTAATCCGTGATCTAACTTATCGAAGGCTTTAGAGAAGTCAGTGTAGATTACATCTACCTGACTTCTTTTGTCTAGTACATCACATATATATTGCGTTTTGCAGAATAAATTGGAAACTGTTGATCGTCCAGTCATGAAACCATGTTGTTCTGGGATAATAAGTAGATTGACATGATGTGATTAATAGTCGTCAATTACAATTTCAAATAGTTTAGCAAAGTTAGACAAAATGGCTATCTGCCGATAGTTAGCGATAATTTCCAGCGACTAGGAAACTTTTTAGATTTAAGCATAAAATTAAAAATCACAGATAAGGGTTTACAAAATGAAGATGCACAATCTTTTACTAAGAAAGCTGGAATTAAGTCTGGACCATTGGTCATCTTAGGTTTTAATTTTTTTGCTGCGATCTCTATTTCTTTTTCTGTATTTTTTATACATATATAATACATTGTTATTTGTAGTCAAGGAAACAAAGTTTTTTGAAAAGAAATCAGCAAAACCATTGATACGTCTTGCGGTCCATCTAAATTCATATCTTGGGCAATTGATGATTCGCCTTTTTTGAATTTTATAAAAGACCGACATTTAGAAGGGTCGAAAGCGATATCTGATTCGGTTGATCTAATATAATTTTGTTAATGTAATTTTGTTTGCTCTTTAACTAATGCTCTGATATTTTTAAAATTAACATAATCAGCTTCATTACGGCTCTTTTGATATTGTTTCCAGGCCTTGGACTTTTTTTGGATAAGGGCAATAATATAACCATTGAACCAAGCAGGATAATGACGTTTGGTTACCTTTTTTGAATGTAATTTTTTTATAGAACATGTTTAATAAATCAGAATAAATCAACAGCTGTATTTACATTGTCACAATGTTTAAGTATTGACCAATCGACGAAGGCCAAGTTAAGATACAACGAGTGTAAATTGAATTTTTTAAAGTTGTACCCAGCAGTAGATGTTGCAGATGCTGAAGGACAAGAATTTTGTAACTGTAACTCAATTGTTAGATGGTACTTATCTTCTATAACTAGTGGATAGATAGATTTTGAGACACTACAACTATTATTAGAAAGTACAAGATCTAGTATTCTATTAAAAAAGTCGACACACTGATTATACTGTGACAGATTAAGATAGTTTATAAAATTTATTAATGACTGCGATTTTCTACCTCCTAAGGTAGTACCCTTGATGGAACAAGTATATTCTGGAATGTTAAAGTCTTCTACTATTAAAATGTTTTCATTATAGATAGTATAAAGTGACTCTAAGGCATCAAATAGTTTATCATATTCGTCAATATGAGTACTAAAAATATACATGTTTTTAGAAACTAGCTTTAATTTTATAGCAATTATATCAATATTAGGTATTTCTTTAAATAAACCAACTGAAGAATTATGATCAAATAGAGACGCGTTAAGATATTTTTTAGTTGCTAATAGGACGCCTCCACCCCTTGTATTATTCGTAATAGCATATTTTCTATCAAATCATCATAATAACATCATAATAATTTAAATTTAGCAGCTCGCCATTATGGAAGTCATCATTAATCCACGTCTCAGTAAATGCATAAATATCAAATGGACATGCCACTGATGTATTAAGGAATACTTCATTTAACTTTATCCGAATTCCCCTTAAATTTAGTAACGTATTGGTATGTTTTTAATTAGAACATCATCAGTGTTTCTGATTATCGGTAGTTGCTATGGTGGAGAAAATATATTAGATTTGTGTTTATCCAAAGCAAGTTTATAAACAGGACAGTTTTTATCCCAAGCAGCGTGAATGGCAGAAACTTGACGCTCGGCACGTTTATTATAATTATGACAGTTGATACAATATCTGTCTGAAGTGGTAAAATCTTCCAATTTGTGGTTTTTTGCGCATAATGGACACCGAGGAACAGTTTTTTAATATATGGTGAAAACCACAACATTTGAAACAACACCGTAAATCAAGGGCATCAAAAACACTGCAATCATCATAACGTACGTACAGCTTACCTTGAGATATAACTTTTTTTAATCACAGCTTGAAACAGTCGGTTATTTTTCTTTAGAGGGACAATGAACACTAGTTTAATATTGCTTTCAGGGCTAAATTCATTTTTATTCTGAGTCTTGAATAAATGCAAAAGATCTTTTCCCCTTAGACATTTCACCATCCCAACTATTTTAAACCTTGTATTGAGAGCAGGTACTTCTTTGATTGTGTAACTCATAGCAAGTTTCTCGTTAGCCAATTCTTTAAATTTGTCCATTTCCTTTCATAACTAATAACGAGACCACCATTTCGTACATTCTTAACTTTGGTTATAGCCACATTAGAATTAATAGGACTTATGTTTTTTAGCATATCAGTCTTGGTCACAGATGTCTTGTTTTGATTTCGGCTTCATAACGACTGCAGATTGTTTTTGAGCATTTTGAACAGCATATGAGTAGTTTGGCGTATTTAAAGAGCTGAGATTCATTGTATGATCACTATTCTCACAGCGAACTTTAGATGTCAGCGTTTGTTCAATCTCATAAGATCTGTTTTAAATGAATTCATTTATGTATCAATTTCAGTTGTTTTGCTTCTTACTACATCTTCTATCTTCTTAAAATTTTCAATATCTTGCGAGATTGATGATAAATTATCAGAATATTGTTGGATAGTTTTGGTTTCTTGAATGGAGCATTTTGTTTTACACGAATCACACATAAGATAGACGTTTTTATTTTTTGTATATATGTAAGGTTTGCATCAACTTTCGAAATAATTTTGAGTTGCTAAAGTAAATGTACAGCATACAGTTAATTATCTTTCCAGTTACTTGTATTTAATTGTAAAATTAACCGTTTCTCGTTTTCAGATATTATCAGTACGCCTTCATGGTACTACTAGGCATTTTCGGTCTAACTGGACCTTTAGTGATGAAAATTCTGGGCATCATGGCTGCAAAATCGCTTTTAGCTGCCAAAGCAGCTTTGATTATAGTAGGCAGCGTTGCTCTTAAAAAACTGTTCGAGAATAATCATCATGAAAAACCCAAAATCAAAGTAACTACCGTACCGATACACGAAGAAGACGATGAACACGACAGATTAAGTTATTCTTTTAATCACATTCCTTATGGATACGCTTCTTATGGATTTAGCCCTTATTATCATGAACCATATTCTGCGCATCATCCGGGAAATAGTATAAGCGATAATAATGATTTTGAACCAGTACTGTATGGTAAGAAAGCGGTTTCCTGATTCCCAAGCCTTCAAATTTGTAATTAGTTATTTTAATTTATTATTTATTTATTTATTTATTTTTTAATAAATATTATTACTTTTTAAATATACAATATTTCTTTTCTTTCTTTATGAAATTACCTAGGTCGCTGTAGAAGATTAACAATGGCGATTCAGGCTATTCCACGAGTATTACTGTGTTGTGACGACAAATGTTGTAGGTATACATATTATTAGTATGCACCATCGAGACAGTGTTGCCAACTTTTTGGATACGTAAATCCGTAGGAAGGGTTCGAAAAATCCGTAGAAATCCGTAGATTTTTCTTTGCTACAAAATGATTGATTAAAATATTTTTAAAATAAAATAAAGATGTTTGTCTTGTCGACTTTACATAAAACTAAAATTTATGTATTTGCAATAAAACAATAATACATATATTAGGTACTTTTTTTTTAACTGATTATTGGCTTAAAATTATTGTAAACAAAAATATATATCCTAAAAAAACTAAAAAATAAAATAACCTTAATTCTGATAATAGAACTAAAATCTGAAAATAAAACACAAAATACTTTGGATAAACCTAAAAATAACCAACATTAAGTCCTTAGTTATCTTCTTCTGAAGAAGAAAGTGTAAAAGGTTGATTTTCTGGACGCTGATGTCGATATAAATTGGAAGAAAATTTTACTTATCGTTAGTATAATTTTCTTGGTTGTAGGAAATAATATTTATGTAATAATTTTAATTTCCGTTTATCAATAAAAGTATGTTTTAAAATTTTTACTGAGCATGTTTGGGTTTATTTGTAAAAATCCGTAGATTTGTGTTCTATATCCGTATATCCGAGAACAGAGTTAAAATTCCGTAGATCTACGGAAAAATCTCTCTATAACTTCCATTATTTTAATTCTATTACGGTTTTCATATTGTATATCTACATGAATATTACTGTTTGATCAAAACTCCTACTATTCGGAAAATGGCAAATATGATGAAAATAATAAGTTCTGACAAAGTTTACATAAAGGCTAAGGTTCTAGTAATCGATGCCTTCAAAAAAAAAAAAAAAAATATCATGACACAAGAGCAAGGAGAAAATCAATAATTTTTAAAAAGAGAGCAATAGTGGTTACAAAAATTTACACAAAAATACTTAAGAGAAGGCTACAATTCTTGAAAACGCCAATGAGGGAAGAACTAAAAACTTTTTTTCTATATTATTATTATGACGGTGTCATAATTTGGCAATAATATAAAGATGAAGTCCAAACATAATTTTTATTAACCTTTCACTGGGAATTTCTTCTGCTATTTTTACTTTCCTATCTGTATACAGATATAAGGAATCATGATTTTTTTCGACCTCGAGTTTTCGACGGATTTTTACGTTTTGAGGTCCCCTGAATCCGTTTTGACTATTTTCGCGATGATGTGTGTGTGTGTGTGTGTGTGTGTGTGTGTGTGTGTGTGTGTGTGTGTGTGTGTGTGTGTGTGTGTGTGTGTGTGTGTGTGTGTGTGTGTGTGTGTGTGTGTGTGTGTGTGTGTGTGTGTGTGTGTGTGTGTGTGTGTGTGTGTGTGTGTGTGTGTGTGTGTGTGTGTGTGTGTGTGTGTGTGTGTGTGTGTGTGTGTGTGTGTGTGTGTGTGTGTGTGTGTGTGTGTGTGTGTGTGTGTGTGTGTGTGTGTGTGTGTGTGTGTGTGTGTGTGTGTGTGTGTGTGTGTGTGTGTGTGTGTGTGTGTGTGTGTGTGTGTGTGTGTGTGTGTGTGTGTGTGTGTGTGTGTGTGTGTGTGTGTGTGTGTGTGTGTGTGTGTGTGTGTGTGTGTGTGTGTGTGTGTGTGTGTGTGTGTGTGTGTGTGTGTGTGTGTGTGTGTGTGTGTGTGTGTGTGTGTGTGTGTGTGTGTGTGTGTGTGTGTGTGTGTGTGTGTGTGTGTGTGTGTGTGTGTGTGTGTGTGTGTGTGTGTGTGTGTGTGTGTGTGTGGGTGCGTGCGTGCGTGCGTGTGTGTGTGTAGGTCGCATAACTCATGAACCGATACACAGAAAAAGACCAAATTTTAAACTTAGGCTTTATTCCAGCGTCTAATGAATCGATTAGATTTTGAGTCAAAACATCTGGGGGGGTACTTTATAGGTGGTCATTTTTATATTTTATAGAATATATGTTATTTACGTTTAGAGAAGAAAATTCTTCAAATATAATTATCTATAATTTTTGTTCTATACAAAATTTTCCTAAAATGGTCCGTATTCGAGAAATTTGACAAAATGTAAAAAAAATATTTTTTTTATAAAAATTGTTCAAATAAAAGTTGTTTGTAATATAATTATCTATAATTTTTATTTTACACATAATTTTTTTTAAATGGACCGTATTCGAGATATTTGAGAAAATGTATAAATTTCGAAATTTGAAGAAAACTCAAAAACGGACAAAGAAAAAAACATTAAATTTTAAACTTAAGTTTTATTTCGGCCTGACGTGAAATGATTAGATTTTGGACAAAGTCGGAACATCTAGGAGGGTACTTTATGGGAGGCCGTTTTTATATTTTATGGAATATATCTGTTATTTATGTTTGGAGAAGAAAATTGTTCAAATAAAAGTTACTTCTAATATTATTATCTATAATTTTTGTTTTATGTCAAAATTTCCTGAAATTGTCCGTATTCGAGAAATTTGACAAAATGTGCAAAATTCTGATTTTTATGAAAATTGTTGAACTTAAAGTTGTTTGCGATATCGATCTCTATAATTTTTGTTTATACATGATTTTTCTAAAATGGACCGTAATGGAAAAGTGCTAAATTTAAATTTTCAGTATTTTCGTTTTCAATGAATATATCTATAGAAAAATGTTTCGAGGACAATGTATATATTTAGTTTATCCTCTAAACATTTATAGAGATGCTGCAATAGGTTGTACAAAATAACCGGAAAAATCCTATAATAACTAGATAGGAAAGTCATGTGTTGGACACATCAGATTTTTAGATAATGTTTTAATATACGATCTGTATTTGTTATATCCTAGACAATTCAATCACTTTTTATATAATAACTATTCATTTTCATAAATAGGTAATGAAAAATCACGCCTTCAAAAAAAAAATAATCCCTAGAACCCGAACTTTATCACAAAATCACTTAGATAATGGAAATGGAAACAGAAACTCAATTTTCTCTCTAGGCGATCTGATTGAAAAATAGTATTATTCATTATCGCATCTACTGTGTTAGCATTTCTTGGGTTGGCTATCAGGGCGATTGATGGCCAAGGGTTATAAGGACGGATAATGGACCAAATTAGATTATCTGCCGGACAGTGGCCAGGCATGAAACGCCAATATTTCTCCGAAATGGTACCTATGAGAAATTCATTTGGTCGTATATTTGAATCAGACTAATTGGTTTAGATTGTTGGACAGTCTAAAGGTAAACACAAGTAACAAACGGAGAAAAAGTGGCGCAAACGATTCCTAGGAAAATGTACTATGTTTACACCATATACAGTATTAAAAAAATACATTTTAATTATAATTCAATATAGTTTACAGTGGCGACACAATCCGTTAAATTTTGAATTCGCACGACCTTTTGTTCATACATTTATTTATTTAATAAGTGCCGGTCTTTTCATCTTTGAGTAAAGTGAAAAGTAACTACGTGCTGATTAGGACAACTTGATACTTTACTTGAAACTCTGGTCTTATCAACTACATACTTTGATTTTCTTTTACTATACCACTATACGGAGAACGGTCGCACTGCGCAGCTTTCTGAGTGCCTTTTAAAAGGAGATAGAAAACTCCGCCATTTTGATCCCTTATTACGTGTTGCCTACATCTTGGCGCAATATTTTTAATAGGTGCGTTTTATTCATCCGCTTCTGCTTCGGAATTGTCGGTTTTCTTGTTTTAATCTGACAGGTTAAAACGACTAAACCGACAATTCCGGAAGCAGAAGCGGATGATTAAAACGCACCTGATATTTTGCTTGCTGCTGTCAGTGTCAGTGAATTATAGGTTCTTTCGTTCGCTATTGGTGTAGTGTCCACCAGTGTAAATTACACCAGTTACACCACCTTATTTACCCTAATTTACTTCCTCCTTATTTCTTATACACATCGTCGAGTGTAATTCACTCCTGCTAAATAGCCGGTGGAGAAAATATCCACCAGTGTACACCACATCGCCGACAGGAAGGTATAGTGGGTTTTACACCGGGCCAAACGAAAGGTATAGGTGTGGGTTGGTGTAGTTCATTACTAACGAAAGGTTCTTTCGTTCGTCCCACTGGTGTAGTTGTAGGATTTTGAAAAGGCGTCATAATGTAAGAACGCTGTGGGTACCCACTATCCCCCAAAAGTAAGCCATCACCCATTTCTCGATTTTAAAATGCCATTTTTGGAAGCATCAGCCACTACTTGAACATTTAATGAAAAGTAACCTTTACGATTCCTAAAAAATTCAGCGCGTTGGCCTCCTTAAAACAAATAATTGTGAAAAATATTATTTCAATAATACGTTAAGTTCACATTTACCAATGGACTGAAAAATTCTTATGTGTGTTCCATCGACAGCTCCCAGAACACAAGGAAATCGGGCAATGTTTTAAAACCCTCTCATAACTTCAGATACATCATCATCTGTTTCTGGCATATAAATGAACTGTGGTCTTAAACTAGATATGGCTGTTTTTTTTTGTGTCATCGGCATCAACTGCTACGGTTATTAGCCTCGTGTTCTGTGTAGGCTTTGTTAGTGTTTCCCAGCGCCACTTTAGGAACAGCACTGTTAATTAGTACCCAACAGTGAATGGTCGAGTGGGGAATCCTACCAAGGCATCATAATTAATTTCAAATAATTAAATTAAATGAAAAAATCCCTGCCAACGGATATGGCTGACTTTTTTTATGAATCGAGCAGCTGTGCTCTTGTGCATTTTGCCAAAGTCGGCAACCGTAATGTAAAAGCTAGCAGTGGCATAAAATCGTAATGCAATTAACAGTTGTTGAAGTGGCGAGATCGGATTGTTTCTAAAGAAATAAATATTGATTGTTATAATAAATAATATATACTACATGTATTTAATACCTATTTGACGGTGGTTGCAAATCATCTTCTCTTAATTCGAGTATATATCTAATCGTTTCTTTGCTGAACCTAAATCTTTCAATACATTCTTCATCTGTTAATTTGTTAAATAAATTATAGTGACGCATTCTATTTTTATTTCTGTATGTGCGTTCTCTAAGAAGAACGTCTACTTCTTCAATTTCTTCATGTTCTTGCAATAATTCCAAATCTGCAAATATGTCCATTTTTTAATATCTGACACTTCTAACTAAATTCACGATGAATGACGTTCCTAAAACTTAATTATAACCTTAATTTATCACTACTTGAAACTTATTGGTTACTTCAAGTGGCCTCTAAGTGTTTTTTTTGGCTTGGACTTTTGTCATTTAGCCAGTCACTTAATGAATATAAATAATATAATATAAATAATACAATAAAAAATAAATGGTAAACAACAATGGCAACAAAAATAATCCATCGGAACAAAATCAATCTGTCACAACAAAACTAATCTACCGCAACAAAACCAACCTATCACGTCAAACAAAAATTAAAAAGACAATACTTTTCAAAGGAAATAAACAAGGACACTCGTTTCTCGTCCAGGGACCCATCAGGACATTTTTTTTTCAAGACACACTAGAAATAGGCCACGGAGTGGGTAGGGTAATATAACAAAGGTAATTAGGATATATCAAAAACAAAGGTAACAAATCTACTACAATCTTATATCTGCTTTAGACAGAAATTCTATCCAACAATCAAAATTTTCTTTTTTAGATGAAGCCAAAATTGACAATACATTAAACGGAGCAGTTATATTTACGTTGCACAGTTCTTTATATAATTCATTTGACAGATTCTGATGAGTTGTACATTCAAAGAAAATGTGATCTAAATCACCTATAACTCCACAGTGTTCACAGTTGTCACTAGGTATAACATTTATACGAGAAAGATGTTGGGGATACCATGCATGTCCAAATTTGAGTCTAATTATTGTTGTGATAAATCTGCGAGGAATATTAAACTGCTTGTGCCAATATTTTGTGGGTATAGTCGGATGTAACAATGTATATCTTGTTGGGTTAGTGAAAAAAAATTCACTCCATGAATGCGACCACATTAATCGTAGTTTGTTTTTGAGAGCAACAAAGTAATCACCCACGCATAAGTTGTAGTCTGGATGTGGATTTCCAATATTAATACTATCTTTAGCAAGTTTATCGACATGTTCATTTTCTGCTAGGCCTATATGAGCTTTTATCCACAAGAAACGAATTAGTGTACCAGTTAGAGATAACTCTGCGACAAGTTTTTTAATTTTAAAGATGTATGGGTTACAATTAACAGTTGGGAGTTTTGTATCTTCCAAGGCCTTTAAAACAGATAGAGAATCGGAAACTAGCACTGCACTGTTGTGATGAATCGATTCGACATATAGTAAAGCTTCATATATATATATAGCTACATCTTCGGTACTAAAAATAGAAAATGAAGAGTTCAGGCTGTGTGATTTCTCTGTTTCTAGATGGAATATAATAAGCAAAACCTGTTCCAGTGGAGGTTTTAGAAGCATCAGTATATATGATTAGAGCGTTTTCCCAATTAGATAGAAATGATCTTAATATATTTCTACTTATGCGTACATCAGTGTCATAATATGGTTGAATGATACGATTTTTGTGAAGAAATAGAGGATAGTCAACAAGTTGTGTTAGATCATCAGTTTTATATATGCTAGGCAACTGAGTTTGGCATTGTTGAAACACAGTGCCCAATGGTGGGGAATTTTTTAATTTCTAATATTTATTAACACGGCTAATATTTCTAAAAAGTTCTATGTTTTGAAGGTGTACTTTTGCCAGAAATTTCTCGCTAAGATATGTCCGTCGATACTTTAGTGGAGGTTCAAGTGCTTCTACGTGGAGAGGATTAATTGGTGTTGATTTCATTGCTCCAAGACATAAACGTAAAACTGTATTTTGAAATACATCTATTCTTTTTAGTAAATTATTACTAGCAGATTCATAAAGTATATAAATTATCTTTGATTTTCTCTATATCATTATATTGAGGTTTGTATGGGTTTGCGGGAAGTGGTTTGGAAGGTCCAAATTGAAATGGGAAAATGGGAGCGATATTAGGGGATAATGCAATAGGTGAACCAGCTTTTCTTTTTTTTTTCTATTGTCGTCAAGACTGCGATTAGGTGTAATTTTCGGTTGGGACAAAAAACTGTTAGTATGAGAATGGAAGGTACTTGTGCTTGGTTGTGATAATATTGGCGGATTCCGCTTAAATGTTGGGAGGGGGGGGGGGGAAATTTTCATCTCTGTTTTCTAGAACAGAGAAGGTGTTTCTAGTAGCGAGACCTGCAAAAGATGAATCACAATAGGCTTTAGCTTCTCTAAACGAAGTTTTCTGATTTATCATAATATTTTTGATTTTCTTTTGATTTTCATAAAATGGACAAGTTTTATCAACGGATACATGTCCACTAATTTCACAGTGAATGCAGAAATTATCTTTTGCTTCACAATTGTGATTTTCAAATTTATCTGAACCGCAGTTAATACAGATAGTACGCGAGCATTTACATTGTTTAGAAATATGTCCGAATTTTAAACATTTGAAACATTGAGTAACTCGTCCTATAAATTGTTCCACGGCAAAAAATACTCTATTAACTGCTACCTGATTAGGTAAAATATTACCTTCGAAAGTAACCAGAATCATCTGTTTCGGTTTAAATTCCACTTTACCATTTGATTCAACCCTACGGTGTAAACGTTTAATATTTAAAACTTTTGATTGACATTCAATGTTTTCAGATAAGTATTCTGGATCATATTGTGTATCAACACCTCTTATTATTCCTTTGATTTCAAGTAGATGATTCGGTATATATGCCTTTAAATTTTCAGAAATCAAATTAGGATGTCTAACTAAATTATTTGCGTCATGAAGAGTTCTTAATTCAACTTTTATGCGATTTCTACCAATACTTTTAATTTCTACAATGTTAGGTACTTTTAACTGTTTATGTAAAATATGTCCTATTTTTAATGGATGTAAACGTCCCAAATTATCATTATTTGTACTCTCTATATATACATGAACATTTTTAAAATTGTACTTATCTGAGGCGGCATTAAAAAGTCGTGTTCCGTTTGTTTTTTGTACTTGGTTCACTATTTGAGAAGAGCGGCCACTGCTATCGTTTTCAATGTTATTATCCGAAATATCCATTGCTGGGTTGCCCGGCTTGTCGGAACTACTACCATTATTACTATTTGAATCGTCATTGTCATTATCCTGCACTAATATCACATCTAAGTGTGTCTGTTTGGGGTTTGTCTCCCCCATCGGGGAGCCTTTTTCAATGACCGTTTATTCGGAAATAAATTTGTAATTCACTAATCAATCACAAAAATTAAATAAATCCGATTGAATTATTTAGATTTACTCGAGTGTAATGATCGATCGTCACTGAACATCAATAAATTACTAAACAAATAATGACATTTCACAAAAAACTAGACGACTATGGTTTTTCAAAATTGATAAGAAATAATTTCTTTCTTATTCTGTCTGCTAGACCACAACCACCATGTACCAATTGGAATCAACATGTGATAAATTTTTGGAATCAGCTCAGCTAGAGTAATCCGAAAATTGAGACAAAATGGGGGTGTTCCATTTAAAAAAAATGACGGTGACGTCATTACTCGAAAGTAATTCACCCTGTATATTAGATTATTATTTTAAAATACGGTAAATTAAAATAAAAAATCGACGTGTTTCAGGATTATTCCTTAAAATGGTCTGTTTAGCTAAAAATGAATTTGTTCCATACTTTACGGACACACTGTATAAATACTCGTTTTAATTTACGTAACAACGATCTCCTAATATTTATATGAACTATGTGGCGTTCCAGACCTGCCTAGAAGATTCTAGACGCTCTCTTTATTCAACTAAACCATGTATCGGCATCGCGTCTGAAAAGTAAGTAAATACCTTATGTGTATGTCAAAGACTCTAATAAGCCATAATTTAAATATGAATACACAAGACATAAATAAAGTATTTTTGAAAGTGCTGTATCTAAAAACAATTTCAAACACCTATCTAAACCAAAGTTATATTCCACTTAACTTACTTATGACATATTTGATTTGTAAATCTCATTTTAAACAATCGTTTTATATTTTCCATGTTTAAACGTCTATATAGACGTCTATATAACAGTATAAAAATCCCTTAGATCAAAAGCATTTTTTGGTTCTACAACGGTTGATATACAAAAAAATTTACCTCACCGAAATATCTTCCCAGAATCGTGCCTGATTATGAGCTATTTAAATTTACCGCACCACAGTACGTCATTGCGCGAATTCGACGAGGTTTCGTCGGTTAATTATCATACCTCTGCGCTTAACTCTTCTTCTCAAGTTTCAATGGCATCCTTGACTCTAATTTGACATTTCTTAAAATGTCAAAAAATGATTAGTATCGTTTCAGTTTAGTATTTTTTACCTAATAACTTTTTTTTTTATTATATTTTGTTTGAGAAATTAAAAATGGCTCAAAATTTCATGGAAATATTAACAAAACAAGAGGATTTTTTCCCGACTGATCCTCCTCATGGTATGAAAGATTTTCAATTCGATGAGTTAACAAAAAAGCAAAGAGAACATCTAAATAATTTTAAAATGAAAACAATACGTGAAAACCATCGATACCTAAAAGAACATCCAGAAATTAAAACAGTTGTTAAATTATTATTTCATGCAGTTCTAAAGGAAAGACCAAATATAAAAGTGTGTGATTTTTTTGCTAAATATGTCATAAAAAATTACGGACTCTTGAGTACTATATTAGTGCAAAGGGCATCTGAACCTACGGCATCCATAAAAACAGTAATTATAGACGATTCGAAGGAAAATATTATTTCCAAGAGTGATACAAAACAAACTTCTAGTCAAGTTACAATAAAGCAAGTAGAAACAGTTGTATACAGAAGACACTTAAGTAGTGGTAAGTATGAGACGAATCTTAGTTACTTTATAGTAAAATAGATGTCTATAAAGCTAGCATGGCATAGTCATAAGCCTGCAAAACGACCTATGCCATATTTTTTGAGTAATGTTTTTTCTATTTTTGTGCTATTTAGAGCGAAAGAATTAATTTTTTTGCTATACAGTAGAATCTCGATTATTCGGGCCAGTCGGGACCGAGCCTTTGCAGATAATCGAAAACACGAATAATCCAAAAACCTCTTTTAATTTTTTAATAATTTATGTCAAAGGAACAAAAGAAACGCAATACATGTTACACAAGTATTAGAAATTAAAAATTGAAAAAAAAAAGACTTCAAAATCGAGCAGATGCCATCACCACATCTCAACCAAATTTATATGGGACCACCCCTGAGGTACCCCCTTTCTAACAAAAGAAGACTCATTGAAATCGGAGGTACTTATTGCGAAGACGCCCTTTTCTTAAAAATACAATTTTTTTTACGAAACTTACATTTTAGGCTTTAGGAAGGAGCGTATTTATCAAATATACCATCGGAAACCCCATAATTTAACGTTTTTTAAAAAAAATTACATATTAAAGGCTTACTTATTCATTAGAATTTAAAATTATATCTGTCATGTTCTGTCAATTCAAATATTCGCGGTGTTGCCAAGTGTAATTAAAATCAACGAAAAAGAAATTACCCTATTTTTTAAATAACATTTCCATACACTTTAAAAAGCACTTCTTTAATTTATTTTCAGTCACATCTGACGATTTATTTAACCATTTTGATTGAATTGTTGTGGTACATAATAATTAAATATTAATATTACATCATCTATAAAGTAATAAACAAGTACTTTTCAAAAACTTTTAAACATAATTTTAGTATTACTTAATATTAGGCATTCCAAACAAAATGGCTGCCCGTTTAAAATGACAGGCCACTGATAGGTTATAATATCGCAACACTGTGGGCCTGGTGATTTGATAGTCAATGCTATAGACAGTTATATAGATTGAATATTCATGTTTTTCAAAATAAACATAAGCTGATGTCTTGAAGTAAAAATGTAGGAAATTATACTTTTAATATATTCTAAGGTTGGATATTGGTTTTAAAACACATTTTTCCTAAATCGATTCAAATTAATGGAGACTTGCCAGGCAGTATGGCCGCTCGCAAACAACACGCTTTGAGCAATCTTTATGTATCATTGACTCCGTCAATGACAACAGGCCCACACGGTTGCCATATCTAAACTTTGATTTATTTTATACATTTTTTTATCCAAAACACTTTTTGTAAACCTATTGGAATTCAAAAAAATTAAAAAGTTCCTTGACACACCTACGCCATAAAAGCACGCTTGTCCTTCTACGTCCTAACTATCTTAGAAGCGATCGTGTTTGGTTGATGTTTCCAAATTCACAATGCCCTTTCTATACTTACACCGTAAGAGCACGCTTCGCTGGTAGCACCCACCCACCTGCTAACCACTAAAGGAGTAAGCGAGCTTAGCGAGCGCGCCCGGCCCGCCATTTTTACACCTACACCATAAGAGCACGGAACGCTCTTCCCATCCACTTCCTAATCATTACAGAAGAAAGCGAGCGAAGCAAGTGCGCCTGGCCAACGTTTCGAAATTCGCGCGACGAAACGTCGACCGGGCGGCGATTTTACGTTTCCGTGTTCAGTTCAAACCGACGCGGTCTTGAAATAAACACGGGAAAGTAATGCAATATTTATAACCAAACCCGTGTTGATATCGAGGCGCCAGACAATGAACCACGCACGGATTTGTTTGGAAACAAGCCGTATTTGCTCACATCCAAATCCGTGTTGATCTTAAGGACGAAATCGAAAAATCCACGTCCAACCTACAGCAATCGCTCCTAGAAAAAACATTAGAACCTTCCTACATAATAAAAATTATTTTGATTTGTTTGTGAAAATAATAATTATTTAAATATAGGTGTGTTAGCAACAAATAAATAAATAACTAGTACCTCCTATTCTTTGTTCTGTGCCTAGGTAGAAAACCCCCAAAAATTGCTTAAAACATTTTAAAAGCAATACAAAATTTTTCGTTTTTAACTTTCTGTAATTTGAACATGAATCGCCACATTTTGAGTTAGAGGCGGCTGTGACGTTCATTGATTTCAATAGGTATTGTCAACAATGCTCAATAATAAAACAAATAAAAAATAATCTGCACCAGACACAAAAAGTATCGCATAGTCTAATAATTTTAGGTACCTACTACTAATTTTCTACTACGAAAGATGTATTAAACTATTAAAACATGTTTTCTATTCGCTCCGTGCGCGACAGCAGCGCCAATTTGTTTTGGTATTAAAGGAGTATTTCTGCCTATACTGACAAATACAATTTTTAATAGAATTCGTAAATAAAAAGTATATATGTTAGTTTTAATAAAAGTATATGGATTTATAAAACAATTAAAACATTAATTTATTATTATTATATATTTTTCACGCTTAAATTGAAGAAAATTATGTATAATCATTAAAAATCAATAATAAAATATAGGCAGGCAACAGTATTTACTGGAAAATGTATGAGAAGTTGCCTAAGTCTAATAAGTTGTCATTGAAGAAACCATTTATAATAGCGTGAAGTTAAAATGTATAAAAAGGATCGCTACTTATATTTTCATTTTTGTTCTAAAGAAAACATAGAATCAATGACTAAAACTGGTTTCCGATCAGTAAGTCACAAAATTGCATACCAGCCAAATATTATAATCAACGGCAGAAATCTTGAAATCTAGTCCTTGCTGAATGAACATTTAAGAATAAAGGGATATTAAAGAACATCGTAAAATGATAATTTATTGTTTATTTAAAAACTTTCTAGTTTCTGATGTCTACTATTTCCAGCATTACTGTTATTATCACAAAAATAAAGGTAATTTTTCTTCTTATTGTACACCTATCCATTTATTTCTTTGATTTAATTTCCACTTTGTTAGTGAAATTTGTTATATAAGTTTCACTGTTTTTTTTTGCTAGTATTTGTATAATTTTCAACACAGCAACTCCGGTTGCTTATTGTGTTGTTTTTACCTACTTTTTTGAAAAAAAGTAAAATGTATACGTGTATTTGATATGCCAAAATTACAAAATATCCCCCTAAAATGCACGAATTATCCGCAGCTAGCGCTAGTATCGCTTTTGCTTCCCTTTCCATGACTTCGCACGGAGCGAATACCTATACGTATAGACTATACCTACTTCTTACCAATTTTTTCGTCATTATTTTATGTTGATATAAGTATACAAATAAAAATTAGTTTAGTTAAATCACTATTATATTACTAGAATATTTAACACAATTCATTGCTCTAAACGTAAGTTATGCGATCTTTTTTGTGATGAGTACTTTTGCAAAGAAAAATTAGGTCATTTACGAATGTATTGTCCTTTTTGTGTAACGTCTCCATGTTCAGTACCAAGATGTTTTTTGAAATGAAAACGAAAACGTGAACATGTACCTCCATTCATTTCCAAACAAATTCGTGCGTTGTTCATTGGCTGACACCTCGAAATCAACACGGGTTTGCCAATAAATATTGCAATACTTTCCCGTGTTTATTTCAAGACCGCGTCGGTTTGAACTGAATACGGAAACGTAAAATCGCGACCTGCCGTGCTTTTTCTATGTGTTCATCCCACGTGCATCCTGACAAGTACAGTAGAGATCAAGCGAAGCAAACATACCCTTTTTACATCTAAAACATTTCATCCTTACGCATGCGCAGATGATAATACGAGTATATAATGAGTTTTCATTTCAATTTGAACTGTGTCCAGGCCGTTGAAGTCCATGCCGGTCGGCGTAGCCAGGTATGGGTTGGTATTTTATGGTGACAGCGAAGCCGCCACCCTACGAGAAGTCGTTGCTTCGTCTTCTTGTTGAATATTCACGGACCGACATGCGCATGGAATGTGTTACTAGAATACTACTTTGTCTTCTGTCGTGGTTAGGAGGTGAGTGGGACGAGCGTAGTGTGCTCTTTTGGTATAGTTGCAAAAAAGGCGCGCCCGGCCGACGTATCGAAATTCGCGTGAATTTCGAAACGTCGGCCGGGCACGCTCGCTTCGCTCGCTTGTGCAGTGGTTAGGAAGTGGGTGGGACGAGCGTTCAGTGCTATTAGGGTGTAGGTGTAACAAGAGCGTGCAAGTCCGGGCCCGGCCGACGTTTCGAAATTCGCGTGAATTTCGAAACGTCGGCCAGGTGGACTCGCTTACATCTGTAGCGGTCAAACCAAAAGCGCCCGCTTCTAAGGTAGTTAGGACGTGGAAGGACGAGTGTGCTTTTATGGTGTGTGTCAGGGAACTTTTTATTGTTTTGAATTCTGATAGGTACAATAAACGGTTTAGATAAAAAATTTATCAATTAAATCAAATGATCAGTATGTCAGAAATATACCAGGCGCACTATTATTTCAAAATAACGCAAGGATATATCGAGCTAATAAAGTTAGCACACTGCAGTTTTAACAGTTTTATTTCAAATTTAATAAAGAACGAAATAGTATATTGTACAACAAGTGTTGAAAAGTGCTATTTCACACGAGTTACACACTATACTTTTCCTACGGCTGCCACTTTATTATCATATATTTTTAATGGTATTATTGTTAGTAAAGCAAATCTTATTTCAAACGACCAGAACCGATTTATATTTATTTATAACCATACAGTTATACATACATATATTTACAACAATGAATAATAACAACAATGAACAATAACAAAAATGGAAAAAAAAATTTATTCGCTTATTAATAGTCTTCCCTGCTGTTTTATTTGAAATTGTAATTTACTGTTATGTTAGAACAATTTTTAAAATTTATTGTAGGACAGTCCTGCCCTTTCAACACATTTTCAGTTATAGTTATGTTTTTTTCGTTTGAACAAGATGGCTCAGAATACTGAGGATCAAAAGGATGTATTTTGTGTAGCTGGTTATCTGATGTGCTTTCTTCTAAATTATGATCAGAAGGATTTACTGATCCGACAATTTTTTTGGAAATTTCAATTTTATTCTGTACGGAATCGTCTATGTATCCCTCAGCGACAGTGCTAGAACGCCATCCTTCATGGCGTTTGAGGGTTAGCAAATCGCCACTTGCATTAACTAACATTGTAGCCGATGATCGACGGAAACAATGGCCAGTGTATTCCTGGGGGTTTGGTAGTTTTAAAAAAGTTGCTATTTCTTTAGCCATACTTCCGATTTTATTAATTCCTACTACCTGTTTCGTGCATTTTCCATTTTTGTAATTTAAGAAAAATCTCTTTTCTGTAATATTAGGATGCCGCAGACTAGCATATTCTCTGCAAATATCATAAAATCTTCCTGTTATAGTAAAAGATCGAGGTATCTTATTTTTAGTATGTCTGATTTTAACTAAGAAAGCGGACTTTAGATCTTGCATATCATCGATTTTCATCTGGCACAATTCCTCTCGCCTACAAGCTCCGGCTAAGCCAACAACAACTACGGTCTAACAATTAAAAAACTTGATTAGATATTTTTATACTTTAAATAAATCTAAAACTTACCTTAGTTAATATACATGTTATCTGGAGCCGTATTCAGAAATTTACGAAAATCTTGGGATGTCAGAATTCTTGATTTCTTTGGCACAAAATTTTCTGCTTGCCTCTTCAGATAAGCTAGTAACTTATGATATTTCGAAATATCATTACTGTGTTTGAGGTTTATAGTGTTTTTCAACATTGCGACCACATTGTTGAGGATTTATATTTTTGCGCTAATTCTTCAAAATAAACAAGCAGAACATTCTCTGATAATGATTTTAGGTTTCGTTCATTCTTCCATTTTACAAATGTTTCATAACAACTTTCATATCTTTCATTTGAAATTAACGGTAGAAGATTTTGCGTGATTTGGGAGACTCTTTCAAGTATTTCTGGAGGAGTGCAGTTAAATTCATCTTCTATCATCGTGTAACACTGCTTTTTTTCTAAATTTGCAATAAATTTGACTTTATTTAAATGAGAACTGTCAGTAGTGACAATAGCCGCATGCTAGATTTCATCTCGATTCATTAGTTTTGTATTATTTTACTTTTGACACTGCGTGTGAAAACGTTTTCAAATGCTGTTTGAATTTGACGTTTTTCGAGGGAAGTTGGTTGTGCGTTTTTGTGTATATTCTAAACAGCCGTAGGAAAACTTATTTAAAAAATATATTCTTGCGTAATTTTGGAGTAATGGTCAATCCAGTATATTTCTTATTAACTTGATTTAATTCATAAAATTTTATTCAAAACCGTTTTTTAAACCTATCAGGAAACTAAATAGTAGTATGTTAAGTTACTTTTTGTACACTCTGTATATAAATTTCGACTGATACCTTAACATATAAAATTTCTCATTATTTCTTTAAAAAAAGTATTTAGATAACAAGGCCATTGTATTTAAATTTTTTACCTACTCCTTACCTTTTTATTTAAAAAAATACTTGTGGCACTCGGGGACTGTCGCTGTAAAGCTATTGCATAGCATTTTTTATCAACTTATGCAATTATAATTATTTATTTTATTTAGGCAGTATTTTTTTTCTTTGATATTAATTCAAGTTTTTTCTTTGATATTAATTCAAGTTACACATTTTGAGCGGGGTGACCAATAAGAAAACAATTTTTTTTCTTTTATTGAATAAATGAGTAGTTAATATTGTTTAAAATATTTTTATTATCTTACAATACCCATGTAGGTGATTCAGGAATTTTTATCATTGAAACTATAGGTTTATGGTAACTGAAATAAGAAACATAAGTTTGAGACTTGATATCCTCTAAATATCTGGAAAATACCGCGTCAATGGTGGTCCCATATTTTGTTGTGGATTCTTGTGGATCATTATTCATTTTCAAATTCAATTTTTCCGAAATTCTGTCTAAAAGAGATAGAATCAGTTATGAGCAGTTAGCAGCTAGTCTACACACATACGTCTAGTCGCACGCACACAAACACCGTGCCGAAGTCTGCCGAACTGAAACGACGTTAGACGATGCATGGGTTTCAACGCCACACGCCGGTCGGAGTGGGGGGTGTTAGGTTTATTTTCGTTACGGAATTTCTTTTTCGATTTTTCGATTTTTCGATTTTTCGATTTTTCGATTTTTCGATTTTTCGATTTTTCGATTTTTCGATTTTTCGATTTTTCGATTTTTCGATTTTTCGATTTTCTCATTATTTTATTTTTTTTTATTTAAATCGTGTTTAAAATGTTACTAACTGAATATCTTGGCAACACTGCCATAGAAATCGGAAAATCTTGGGTAAGAAACATCAAAACATTGTAACTTTGATTACATTTTTCTCAAAAAATAGTGGATTATCCGATTTGCTTTTTTTTAATTTACTATATAAAATGGATACTTTTTATTGTTTAATTTTTTTTTTCAAATTACAACGTACTTAAAGGGTTTCGGACCCTATTTAAACATAATGAAAATAACTAGAATATTATCACTAGTACAAAATGTTTGGGCTATTTACTTTTTCTCATAATAATTATTTATTTAGCAGGTGCCCAAAAATGGTTAGAAGCACAAGAAACAAAAATTGTTGCTGAGGAAATTTTGAGTGAAATACTCAATGTCATTTGTAAAGATGATGTAATCTCACAATTCCAAACTTATTTTGCTGGAAGTAAAAGAGTATAACAAGTACTTTGGTCGACAGTATTTTAGCACAATAGACAATGAATAATTATTGGATATGCCATGGCCATCATTTGACACAAATTGCGTTTTAACTGCATGGAGTACGAGGATATTTTGATGCACTAGATACTTGTAAATGGGCGTCAATCATTTATGGTTTATTTTAGTAAATTTTTATATATCATTAAATACTTGTATACTTATCTGAGAGTGCTAATAGACAACATATTATACTCGTATAACAAAAACCTGTGGGTACGCAGTAACACAATGTTACTTAAATTGAGAATATTTAAAAGATATTTAAATAATTAGAATAGTGGGCTCTCCAAATATTTACAAATTTGTAAGTTGTGATTGTTTAGATAATAATATAACATAAAACAAACAGTTAAACAAAAGAAAAGTAGAAAAGTTTCAAAGAGTTTGAGAAAAAAATATTAAATGATATATAAAAAAAAAAAATGAATTCATAAATCAGTTTTCGATGAGATCTTGTGAATGTTTAAAGTTACTGGTACTGTACAGGTTTGTCTATTTTTTCATTCTGATTTATTCAAAGAGAGGTGTCGTTTAAAATTATTAAAATTTTATTCAAAATAAAATAATTTCTATATTTGTTATCTATTTTAACAGACTAATATTTCAGAATTAAAAGTCTGAATCTGAACTGAACAATATCTCGTCTGATACTCTCTTTGAATAAATTGTTTATTTTGGTAGATATGTTTAGTGGATGATATGATCAATATATTATTTTAGCCTCTTAGTGATAAATACATGAATAATTTATATTTGTGTTTCTATTTCAAATACGGAGGGTTCCACAAAAACACAGTTCTTTTTTAAATGGCATTTTGTATTTAATTCAGAGTCGTGCTTATTTATCGCGCACATTACTCGTGTACTAGATACTACTTGTCATTTATCTACTGTTATTCCGAACACTAAGGTCTGTATTTATAAACAGAACTTACCTAAGTCGGACTTGGGTAAATCGACCTTGGACTAAAATCGAAGTTCGGTTACAACGTCTCTAATTTTTTAGTTGGTTCTGGTGTTAAGACTGGAATTTAAAGATGGATATTAGCAAATCTGTAACTGTTACGTACATTTACGGATTTGTTACTACCCATCTCTAAATTCACGGGATATAACCGAACTTCGATTTTCGTTCAAGGACGACTTACCCAAGTCCGACTCAGCTGAGTTTTGTTTATAAATACGGACCTAAATAAATAATTTCGTAACTGGTTACAAAAATAATTATTTAGAAACCTTAGGTGTAATTTTAAAAAGGTTTACTTAAAGACCTTTATGTAACGATTATTTAAAAATTTTGTATATTCTCCTGCACTAATCACATATCTATCTAGTCTAGGAATGATCTCCCAGTTGCTCAAAACTACCAAACAAAGTTACGTTTCGCTGAAGTACAAATTAAATTTTAACAGTAACGTAATTGAACTCTGAATAACGTTTTATAATAGTCTCTCTCGGTATTCCACTTATTTTCAATTTAATACGTAAACCACGAATGAATAGGCATGTCATTTTCGAAACTACAATGGAACGCTTTTCATTTATCGTTACTCTGGATTCATATAAACTATATAATATATGGTCCAGGGAAGTTAGAAAAAATAGCGAACATTTTTAGGGATAGCAGATATCGAGATGCAGTTTTCTGCATTGTGTTCAAGAAGGTACCAGGAAAAAGTCTATATCGTCTGGTTTAGCCATTTTTTGAAAAATGCCCTCTGGGCCGGAAAATGCATTTTCCAATTGCATCATTACTTGCACCATAATAGGAACGACTGGAAACTCGGAAAAATGGCTCGGAAATCGATACTCTGAGGTTTTCGGAGCTGCCTAACTCAATTCTGGCATTAGAATTACCCGGGGGTGAACGAAAGTGGCTCTGTGGGGGTGCGCAGGGGGTGAATTGGGGAGAAATGGCAGCGTGCAAGAAAATCGCTCCAAACTCGTTACTAGGAGGTTTTCGAGGATGCCGAATTCAATTTTGGCATTGGAATTACTCGGGGGCGGCTTTGCTGGGGTATCCAAGAGGTCATTCCGGGGGGAAATTGCATAGTCCATGGGAAGCGTTCCAAACTCGTTACTCGGAGGTTTTCGGATATGCCAAATTTAATTCTAGCATTAGATTTCCTCGGGGGCGCTCGGGAGTGGCTCCGTGGGGTTGTCTGAAGGTGATTGGGGGAAATGGCAGCGTTCACTAAAATTAGAGGAGGAGGGTATACTTGTATTTATCGTGGATGTACCTCAAGAACAGGTGACAAAGAAGGATTATTCACTCTTGTGAAATATCTAGTGAGGTATGTATGAAACATTGAGTGTGAAATAGGAATTGACCTTTCCATAACATTGTAGTACAATGATTGTATGTATTTTTCAGACTTGAATTGTGGCTTTAGGCAGCAAATAGAAAGGACTTATTGGGAAAGAGTATTGAATACTTAAGTAAACATTACAAAATTTGTGAACTGCACTTCCAGGATAAATTTGTTTTATCAGTCAGGAGCAAGAAAACGATTATTTGCAAATGCATTCCCATCAGAATTTCCTCACTCAGAACCTATGAAAAGAGTCACAGTTTTGCAAGGTTAATAAATAAAATTTATAGTTAAATGTTACAAAAAGTTTGCTACTTGTCTCGCTTATTATTTTTTTACATTACATTTAGTAGTTTAAAAAATAAAATGATAAGTACTAATAATCTTAGAATATCATTATTATTTTATAAACATTCAAGATATAAAAAATATAAATATACACATACATTCCATTTTATAGAACTGCCTCGGAGGTAAACTGTACTATGTCGACATACAACAACTTATGCAAATTAAAATAAAGTAGTTTTATCAGTTAGGTTAGTAAAAAATACAAATATTGTGACAATAAATGGGGTGTCTAAATGCATATCTAGTTGAAATTTAATAATTTAACATTTAAAAAACAGTTGACTAGAATGACAAAGTGCAGTTTACCTCCTAGGCACAAATATATTCACATTTTATGAAATTATTTTAAATTTCATCTGGCTAAAAAGTGTGACTTAAACATTTAAATCTGACAAATGATGCACCTTCTTAAAACTAGTTGATCTGATAAAAATTTGTTTTTTCTTTCTTTTTTTTAGAGGAATTTGTTATTCATAGCGAAAAAGGCAAAGACAACTTGTGCCTACCCTCAACTTCAGCAGAAGTAGAATCTATTGAACAAGTTCATAGTCAACCATCTGTTCCTCTACCTTGTGCAACAGCACAAATTCAAACGAGTACTGTATTATCACTCCAAGAAAGCAGAGACTGCGACTGAAGATAGCAACGTTAAGGAAACGATTGTTCATTGCAAAAAAGAAGAAAAATCCAGCCTCCGAATATACATTGAAAGATTTTCATGCAATGTGCAAGTAATTTTTAAAAAAATCTTTTGCAGATATTGTAATTTCGCAGAGCTTATTACATAGGATGTAGCTATTTTAATAAAGCTACTTATCTATGTATTATAAATTAGGTTTGCTTTATAAATGTGTGTAAACTATTTTAATTTTTATACACTTAAAACGATTTTGTTATGTAATGAATACTATGTAATAGCTTTAACAAAATATGTCATAGGTGTGTGATCCTTTTTTTAGACAATATAAGTCTAATTAAACATGTACGTTATTTGAGTACATAGTTTCTCAAGTGTTTTTTTTTTATCGTTTTTTATAATATATTTATGTACTATTATCAGGTATATATTTGTTTCACTATTGTTTTTTAATTTCATTTTTAGTTTTATTGGTATTATAAATTATTATTAATAATAAGTATCTTTATTGCATATGTAATAAAGAAGATTCCATTTAAAAATTCTATTTTAATAAAATACATGCATAGATTGTAAACTTATCAATTGCATAAATACACGTTTTTTATTTTTATTTTGTTTTTATTTATAAAATCCCTAAAATACGCTTTAGCTAATGATTTTTTATTAATTATCCCAATTGATTTATACTTATGGATCATAAATGACTAGTAAGATTTGTGACACAATATTAATAGTTCATTATGACAGGGTAAAATAAACTATTATTTAAAATTTTATAATTTTCATTTTTGAAACATCTGTCGGAAGTGCTACAAATTGAAAAATATTTAACTTAAATCAAGAATAGTTTAAAATTCTTTCATGCAAATTTTCATAAAATATGACACATAATTCTGTAAAAGAGAAATGTAGTTTTCGCAGTGTAGGTTCAGTGAATAGCTATGTACTGTGTACATGTGAATAGTTATGTTTTCTTAGAGTATCTCTGTGGTGGAACTATATATCTATGGGTGGAACTCAAGGTTTAATATTTCTATCCCTTCAACTAAGTTCCGACCATTACTTTCTTTTCTGTATTGTTCGTTCTTTCTTCTGTGGTAATGGCACTGGTGAAATATCAGATGGCGTCACACACAAACCAGAGCTACTTGCTAACTGTTGTATTCCAGATTCTGTTGAAACGCTTTTTAAAGACCGACTCGGTATTCCTTGTTCTGTAGAATGTTTAGCTTCGGGCTCTGCTTCATCACATGATTTTTACTGAGGATACAGCTTCATCTGCGGATAACACGTCACTTTAGTTTAATTGGTGAACGGTGGGGTTTTGTAATTGTTCTTCCTGTTCTGCAGCAAGATAATCTGCTTCACTAAAGGCATGTCTATCAAAAGGGTAGATACCACCTATTTTAAAACCGTTGGCCGCTATCTCGCGGGTTTGACACTTGTGATACGCCTTTCCAAACAATTCGACGATGTGATATGCAGTTAAAGACCTATTGTTTTCACGAAGCCATATGCGTACCTCCTCACTATAATATGACTTTAAAGGGTCCATAAATGATCTGTTTACAGGTTGGACCCTGTGAGTACAATGATGGGGTAGCCTTAGATAATATATGGGGTAGCGACATCAGCGTGACGTGATTATCCCTTGCCATATTTTTTGTGCGGCTGTAGGCAATTTTAAATCAGTTACCAGAAATGTGACCAAGCCAAGTGTGGTCAAGGTTCTTACGTCATTGTAATGACGTTCTATTTTTCCGAAT